AAACCTGTAGACCCAACTATAGATGCTTGGGACAAAAAAGAGTCAACGGTCTGGCATGACTTTGGAATTCTATGGTCTAGAAATCAGCAAGATTATGATGTTTCTATTTATAACACAAGAAGTATGGGATGTAATTGGTAAAAGCTACTCTAGAGTCAAGGTCACTGCACAAATTTATGACCTAATTGTAAAGAGGTGGTTCACCAAGGTAACAGATAGTCAATGAATATTCTAATACGTTAAAAACTGATGTCAGAAATTGCACCAATACCTCAGTCTTACTATGGATTCCAGTAAAAGTGCAATTTGTCTTGAGAAATTGTTGAAAACACAATGCATATAAAATACTATCTTAAATGTGATAAAGTACTAATTCAAATATTGGGAAATGAGAAATACTATCACTGAATGAGATTAATTTTCATTGTAATTGCGGAAAAGAGAAGAATAGTGGTCATGCTAGAAACCTGCCCTACTGATTGCTCAACTCTGATTACATGAGGTTCTAGACCTCGCCCCAATAGATAAAGGAATTGAGTCCCACTGAGAACTCATCTCCTGTAATTACTAATAGGGATAATTTTTGGTATATTTTTTGTAAAAAATCTTGTCATACCAAAGAAAAATGCTGAATGCTACATGGTAAATTAAATACCTCTAGTAAGAAGTGAGAATATAAAACTACCCTACAAAAGATTTTTAAACAGGTTCATATGACCAACCAGTGAGAGGAGGAAAAGTTTGTTGATTTGACTACTTTCAAAACTGAGATTGAACAACCCACAAGGTCGATTGGAGGATCTTGAGAAACTCACAGGTACAGGTGTAACAAATCTCTCAAGTGTGCTTTCTTTTCACATCGTCTAGATGTTTTAGATAAACTATTTGAAAGTTTTTAGATTGTAAACTTAGGAACCATCATTTATATGACTAATACTTTTAAATATTTTCATATTAAATTTTCTGTACAAATAATAAGAAAATTGTCATTTTAGATCATTTTATCAATATTATTGCAGGCAAAGACAACATTTTAGTCATACCATAATCCTAGAAAATATGTTATATGTTTCCAAACTGTATACTAATTTTCTACCAGTCACAGTTATACAAGACTTGAATTGCAAAGTAACATTTACCCTTCTTACTATGTCTTTTAAGATCAGAAATCAAGGAAGATGATAGGATGTACTGAAATTATAAATAAACTCTACTAATTGAATATACGTGGAAAAATCTTTCTCTATTATTACTATAAACTCCATACAAAGTTTTGGCTCCACCATAAAAGACTTTGGCACTTTTCCATCTTGAAGGTTATATTTCCATTATTATTTAAGAATTCAGAAAATGAAAATTTATATTGTGATATATAAGAGTTTTCAAACATAAATATGTAATGTTTCCTATTAGTAATAAAAGAATTTGAATTTTTTTTTTCATAAATCTACTTTAATATTTGAGAACTGACCCATACACCTAATATTTCTAATAACCGATGGTTTGTGTAATTTATTGATGGTTGCACTAAAATTACTTAATTTTTCTTAGTTAAAAGCAAATATGATATTAATCATATCATACTCTATCTCTATAACATAATTAAAGCTCAATTTAGAACCCATATTAAAAAATTTTGCACTAACAACGTCAAGACCTTTTTAATCACACACTTCCATCATTTTTTCATTAAGAAGTGATTCTTTCCGAATCATCTTGCGTCCACACTCCACAATAAGGCGGAGTAACGGAATACAAAAATAGTCATATTTTAGTCACTACAAGAGTTTTTATCTTTCAAAACCATGTCCTAAAAAAATACTAGGGCGAAGCCGTCTGTACACCCACTTAGATTATTGACGATTTGCTCTTCAGTTTTCTTGATTTAAAAGCCTTCTAGAATCACTCTCTAAGCAAGTGCCACAAACTATTTGGTCCATCAAATATTTGGGTGTGTTGTTTTGGTTCATATTCATTCTTATTAAAGAGGAAACTTGATCATTGAGTCCTGAAATATGTGTTTATGGGTTACTCTTCTAAAAAGGTACGAATGTTACCATCTGTTCACAAAAATTATATATATATGAGATGTCACATTTGTTTGACAAA